CTGAGAATAGATAGGGCTCAAGGACAGTATCTCCAACTGAACTTTTAATGAACTCCCGTAGGCGCCAAGAAGGCGGGTAAATAAGAAAGAATATAGAAACAAGAAACTGAGTAGAAGGTTACATGTGGGAAAAGAAAGTTTGTTTTGCATTGCATTCTTTCTGCTGACGTGAGGTTTATGGAGTATAAATAAAATGAGGCGGAGGCTCTGAGTGTGGCCGCCATGTTCTCTGTGTGTCTTTGTCTTTGTGTGTGTTCTTTCATTCTCCACCACCCCCAGTGCAGCCCCCAACAGTCATCCATTCATTACCTTACCCTTTCTGTATAATGGGTCCAAAAAATGTTGAGATATGAGGTATAAAGTGTTCAGTAAGTTCATAGGTGATCCTGCTAGCAATAGCAAAGTGAAGCATATCCAAATTTAGAGGGTTTATCTCAGTGAAGACAAATCCCTGCCTTATCCATCACAAAATACTTGCAAGAATACAAGAATACTTCCCCTGACATACGGGGCACTTAGCAGCATCAGTATCCAGAGGTCAGCCTTGGTGAGCTAAGTCTATACTACAGAGCTCAAGTATCACCTCTACCATTGCCTGCCATCCTGGTCACATTGTTTACAAATAAATCACTTGGGCAATCAGTGGGGTGATAGGAAAAGAGACTACGTAACAGCCATATGGTTGATGTGTACCTGATTGTTGATAGCCTCCCTCTGAAGAGTGAGAATTTAGGTTAGTATTCATATGGAACATTATTCTCATACTCTGGGACCATTCTGGGAAATTCGTCCATATCACCATTCCCCAAAGCTTCTTGTCAACACAGCCTCCACTTTTGCCCACTTAAAATCTCTGTCTATCCAAACCATTAGCCGTGTACATTCAGTTTAGATCACTCTCCTTCTAGAAAAAGTAAACAATGGCATTCAGTACTCCAAATTGTGCTGAGTGGCAGCAATTCTTTTTCCTATTGCCATTTATGGACATACTTGAGTTACAGCTTCTAATGCTACTGTTACAACTGGCGTCAGTAGTATTAGCCAGCTTATATATTGAATGCTCACTATGTACAGGACATTGTTGTAAGTATACCAAAACTATTTGCTCAAGAGGCACTATTACATCCCCTATTACATCCACTATTACATTTTAAAATGAAGGGAAAAGCCAGAGGAAAAAAAAGAGAAAAAAGCCAATTCTTCAGGAACTGGTTAGTTATGGGGTTGAACTTGCAGCATTCAGTTTTTGGTTTTTTTTTGTTTTTTTTTTTTGGAGACGGAAACGCCTCTGTTGCCCAGGCTGGAGTACAGTGACACAATCTCGGCTCACTGCAACCTCCGCCTCCTGGGGTCAAGTGATTCTCCTGCCTGAGCCTCCCGAGTAGCTGAGATTACAGGGTCCTGCCTGCTCATCGGGCTAATTTTTGTATTTTTAGTAGGGATGGGGTTTCACCATGTTGGCCAGGCTGATCTCGAACTCCTGACCTCAACTGATCCACCAGCCTCGGCCTCCCAAAGTGCTGGGATTACAGGCATGAGCCACCCCGCCCAGTCCCATTCAGTTTTTCAAGCAAAGTATTAACTTTTCGTCCTTATTCTTAAGGGGACACTAGCAAGATGAAAATAACCCATAAGGTGATCATTTGTTTCATTACCTCTTAGGCAGGTTAGTCTTCTGAGTAACAGAATTAGCCGGGTTCTTTTCAACTTAACTTTGTGTAGTTTTCGAAAACCTAGCCTTTACAAATTTTCACCTGTGGCTGGACGATATGCCCATGAGTCAGTCGCAATCCTCCTTTTCTTACAAACTCTGCTTTTTATTCTGATTTCTATATCTTGTAAGACAAAGAAGCAAGTTATTTAGCTTGGAAATTATCATCTGACTATTTGGATTAATAGAGAGGGTCAGAGGCCCCTGTAACATAACAATAATGTCATAAAAGTAATTTAAGTTCTGTTTATTCACAGAATTGATAACAGTTCAGTTATCATTAGTATGGGATTATGGTGAAGTAAAAGAACTTGAGTGTATATTTTCTACATAGAAATATATACAACAAACCAGATAGCAATTCAAAGAGATATATATTTTAGAAACTCTACAGAGACAGTTTTCAAAGGCTGGACAAGTGTCCGAGAAAAAGCTCAAAAAAGAAATTTCATAAAGCAGACAATATTTAACTGGGCTTTGAAAAAAATAGGACTTGAGTCAACAAAAGTGTGTATTTGATAGTGGATTTAACAAAAATACTAATTGCTTTAGATGCTATTACTGTGCTAAATTTAGATCCATTTTAAATAAACTAGATAGTAACTCAAGTTTATATACAATTACTACCTTTGAAACCAAAAGCCAGTCATAGTGGGAGCTTCCAAATGCTTTATAGACCTTGGATTTTTACCTAAGAGACACATGACTGAATAGTTACAACCTAGAGCAACATCGTTTGTTGGATGACTGGTTCTCATTTGTGACAACCTGAATAAGGGGGAACTTGCTTTTCCTCACTTCTTCTAGGCAAAGTCAAAAACAGTATTTAAAATACTAACGAAGGGAGTTTTAAAATTGAAATTGACTTATTTCAGAAAAGAGTCTGGAATAAACGTCCTCAAGTTTTCTGCCTTAACACCCCGAATTGTCCTGTTTAGGCTTTTAATGCCTTTGCTTATATAGATATACCATAAAGGGAAAATAGTATTCTAATTAGAGATAAAGCATTGATCAGGCTGAAAACTACCGCCTTCAAATTCCATTGCAGCCGGACTGGATGGCTCACGCCTGTAATCAGCACTTTGGGAGGCTGAGGCTGGAGGATCACTTGAAGTTAGGAGTTCGAGACCAGCCTGGCCAACATGGTGAAATCCCGTCCCTACTAAAAATACAAAAATTATCCGGGCATGGTGGCGCATGCCTCTAATCCCAGCTACCCGGAAGGCTGAGGGAGGAGAATCGCTGGAACCCGGGAGGCGGAAGTTGCAGTGAGCTGAGATCACGCCACTGCACTCCAGTCTGGGTGACAGAGAGTCTCCCTCTCAAAAAAAAAAAAAAAAAAAATGATTATGTTGCCATAAAGAGTCCCTTTTTAAAAAAATCGCTGTATCCAATGAAAACTGAGAAGAAATCAATCTCCTTCCCGAAAGCGATAAAATACTTAAGAATGAGAAACACAAACTGACAGTTTACTGAGTTTGTTAAGGAAGGCCAAATAAAGGCGGGGTTTGAATTCCTTTGGCGCACCCAAACCGGCCGTGGACTTCCTGGATACAGCAACTAATCAGGATGCAGACAGGAAGGGTGGGCGCTGCCCGGACAAATTCAAACTGATAACCGCTGCAACTTGGCACTGTTCCAACTCACTATCCGCTGGGGGACCGACGAGTATTTTAATCGGTTTCGAACGTGTAATAGAAAGTCTCCCCATCTCCTTACTTAACTCTAAGGGGATTAGAATGGCAGATCTAAAAAAAAAAGTCATTAAGGATTAGTTCAGACTAAAAAACACAGTAGTGAGTTACAAGTACTATGTCAATGGCCAGCACAGGAGGAATACAAGCACCAGCTCTCTCTTTGAGAAGATGGGTGGCTCTTAAAAGAGCCGTTAGGGTCGAGAATTTGCAACCAACTCACTGTTTACTTAGCGCTGGTGTATTTGGTGACGGCCTTGGTGCCCTCGGACACGGCGTGCTTGGCCAACTCCCCAGGCAGCAGCAGGCGCACAGCCGTCTGGATCTCCCTGGAGGTGATGGTCGAGCGCTTGTTGTAATGCGCCAGGCGGGAAGCCTCACCGGCAATGCGCTCGAAAATGTCGTTCACAAACGAATTCATGATGCCCATGGCCTTGGACGAAATGCCGGTGTCAGGGTGGACCTGCTTCAGCACCTTGTACACATAGATGGAATAACTCTCCTTGCGACTGCGCTTGCGCTTTTTGCCGTCTTTCTTCTGCGCCTTAGTCACCGCCTTCTTGGAGCCCTTTTTCGGGGCGGGAGCGGACTTCGCGGGCTCTGGCATAGCGAACACTAGCTACAAAGCTCCAAGGAAAAAGAAAAACAGTGAGCAAGGTACGACAAGGCGCTTTTATATAGAATCGCTTATGCAAATAAGGTGAAGAGTTGAAGTCTTGTGTCTGATTGGTAGTTATTCAGGGTAACGTCAGAGGTCAGTTCTGCCCAATCAGGATTCGCAAATCCAGAAGACGTACTGCCATTGGTTGAAATTAAACTGCAGTCCTAACCAACAACACGTCTTCTTTTTCGCGCCCAATAGTGTTTATAAAAAGCGCCGCCTGTCCTGTTTGTTTCGTAGTTGCTTTGGTGAGTTAGTGGCGCTCGCAATGTCTGGACGTGGCAAGCAGGGAGGCAAGGCTCGCGCTAAGGCCAAGACTCGCTCCTCTAGGGCTGGCCTCCAGTTCCCTGTGGGCCGAGTGCACCGCCTGCTTCGCAAGGGCAATTATGCCGAGAGGGTTGGGGCCGGCGCGCCGGTGTATCTGGCAGCGGTGCTGGAGTACCTGACAGCCGAGATCCTGGAACTGGCGGGCAATGCGGCCCGCGACAACAAGAAGACCCGCATCATCCCCCGTCACCTCCAACTGGCCATCCGCAACGACGAGGAACTCAACAAGCTGCTGGGCAAAGTCACCATCGCACAGGGCGGTGTCCTGCCCAACATCCAGGCAGTGCTGCTGCCCAAAAAGACTGAGAGCCACCACAAGGCGAAGGGCAAGTAACTACCTGGACTAGTTTGTGGCAACTGGAGTAAAACGAGTCCAAACCAACGGCTCTTTTAAGGGCCACCCACGTCTTCTCTAAAAGAACTTAACATTTCCACGTGGAAGAAAATGAGACCTGGGGAAAACTTAAGCCATAAGTTACCCATCCTTATACCTTTTTAAGACAGTGTAGCGAACACCGCAGATTTAAAAGAAAAACTAGAGGGAAGGTGGTCCAGATTCTACCACGTTTAAAAGTTAGGATGTGAACAGATGTATTAGGCCAGTACTTAATTTTAAACTTAGCGTGTGTCCACAGAGTGCCAGTGGCTTCGTGAGTTTTAGAAGCACTTTGGCACAAGGGTTATTGCCCTGGCTAGAATTTAGCAGACAGCTATTCCACGCAGGCCAAGGGCGGCAAGAAGTCCCCCCGCTATGTGCCCTGCACGGTGACCCTGCGCGACGTACGGCGCTACCAGAACTCCGAGCTGCTGATCAGCAAGTTGCCTCCTGCGAGAGCTCGGCGGTGACGCCGCTGCAGGAGAGCGAGGCTGCAGGACTTTGTGACACGATAGTCCACCTCCCTGCAAAGGCTCTCTCAGAGACACATCTTTCCTGATGGATAGCTGTGAAGCATTCTCTTACCCACCCCACTGCATGTTTCAAAGTATTCCTTTAAAATGAAGTGAGTAAAATACTGGGATGACGTTATCTGGAGCCCAAGAAAGATTTTTCATTTGGAAAGGCCTAATATCCTAAGTTGCTTACCCAGAAGAACTTGACAGGATAGTTATTTCTAATAAACCTTAAAACCCTTTCAGGAAATTTGAGGTAAAGTGTTAGCACACAGACTGTTAAAACGTCTTCCTCACAAATATGGGGGAAAATATATAGAGGATTATCATATGGTTCAACAAATGATGAGTATTAGAAATGTACTTTAGAAATGAGTATTAGAAATGTTTATGAGTATTAGAAAAGTACAGTGTTGGGCGTTCCTGACACAAACTGAGGCCTCCTAGCAAGACTGACAGATTTCTGTGGAGGAGGGTTATTTAGTACGATAGTGCAAATAACTTTTGGTGTTGTAGCTAAATAAGGAATATTCATACCAAGATTGCACAATCTTGCCTCCTACCTCTGTTCACTGAACTCTGATGTAATTTATTTATTTATTTTTATTTTTTTTTATTTTATTTTTTTGAGACGGGGTCTCTCTCTGTCGCCCAGGCTGAAGTGCAGTGGCGTGATTTCGGCTCACTGCAAGCTCCGCCTCCTGGGTTCACACCATTCTCTTGCCTCAGCCTCCCGAGTAGCTGGGACTACAGGTGCCCACCACCATGCCAGGCTAATTTTTTGTATTTTTAGTAGAGACGGAGTTTCACCGTGTTAACCAGGATGGTCTCAATCTCCTGACCTCGTGATCCGCCCGCCTTGGCCTCCCAAAGTGCTGGGATTACAGGCGTAAGCCACAGCGCCTGGCCCACTCTGATGTAATCTTGAGAAAAAGACATTAACATTTTTCTTGCGTATTGTAGACACTTTTGGCTGTCTGGTAACATGGAAAATCTCAGAATGATGTTTTAAGTATATAAAATGCCAAACAAAGTTAAATTACAGTTATCAGAGTATTTTTGAAACTTGATAGTGATAAATGGGCCTATATAGTTATGTTGTTAATATAGTTAACACATTATATAATTTGGTGAGCCTAATTGCTGTTGCTAATTAGAGGAGTATAAATGTTTCAAGATAACTCAGCAATTGTAATGAGAAATGAAACATCTAATGTCTTTTGGGTTACAAAGTAACAGGTACTGAGATTTGTGGCCTAAATTCATAATAAAGTGAAATGTTCAAGTTCAGTCAAGGTTAACTTTTTAAAAATAGATATTTTACTACCCAAACTCACAGACTTCCCCTTCAGCACCCTCCAATTGCTGAATTTTATCCTTAGGGGCGTTGTGACATATAAGTATGGACCTCAGGTTAAAAACTCTTGCTCTAAAATTTGGTCGACCTACCCCATTTCTTTTCAGCTCCTTTTCTCTAGATACCTCCTCTTCCTATCTGGAATTTCTTTAGCACTTAGTCTATTGACATCTCGTAACCTTTTATTGTTTCTGTTTCTTGTTCTTAAAATATAACTACTTCCAATCCTAGTATAAATATGATGTTCTGGAACAGAAATAAGTGCTGACTATTAGCAAAAATAGGTACTTGAGAGGCCCCCAAAATTGTAAAATATTTGGCTTTTTGATGGATTTTTATACTGTGTAACCCAAATAATAATTTTATTCATTTTTGAGTTGTTTGTCTTTAAAGGTCTTTCAACTTATTTAAATTAATATTTAATAAATTTCACAATTAAATGTATAGTGGTTGGACACAGGATGTATTTTGCAAGTGTAACTGTCACTGGAAAGGGGTCCCAATCCAGACACCAAGAGAGGGTTCTTGGGTCTCTCTCAAGAAAGAATTCGAGGCAAATCCATAGAGTACAGTGAAAGCAAGTTTATTAGAGAAGTAAAGAAAATTGTTCTTTTGTTCTATTCTAAGGATATTTATAGTTATTTCTTGATTACATGCTAAACAAGGGGTGGATTCTTCATGAGTTTTCTGGGAAAGGGGTGGGCAATTTCCCAACTGAGAGTTCCTCCCCCTTTTAGACCATATAGGGTAACTTTCCGACGTTGCCATGACATCTGTAAATGGTCATGGCACTGGTAGGAGTGTCTTTTAGCATGCTGATGCATTATAAGTGTGTATAATGAGCAGTGAGGATAACCAGAGGTCAATTTCCTCGCCATCTTGATTTTGGTAGGTTTTGGCTGACTTCTTTACCTCATGCTTTTATTAGCAGTCTTTGTGACCTGTACCTTGTGCCAACCTCTTCTGTGACTCATTCTGTGAATACAAATGCCTTAAGCTTCTGGGAATGCAGCCCAGTAGGCCTCAGCCTTATTTTACCCAGCTCCTATTCAAGATGGAGTTGCTCTGATTTAAACGCCTGACATAATAAAGTTTGCTGCTAGATTTGTTTTGTAATGTGAAAGAATGTGAGTACTCAGAGTTACTCTGTTTGAACTAAGTTTATCTTGATAGTCAGTTATCTTATTAGAAAAGAGACTGATTAGCATCACATTTTTAAAAATGTTACACTGTGTGTATGTTTACTATTGATTTCAGGACTAAATTTACCATCAATTTCAGAAACTAAAGAGTCTGACAAACTCAAATATCCTTGTAGGGGAGGCAAAATTTTACCTCTATCCTCTTGAGTTTTTATGGCTGGGCCTGATAATTAAACTGACATAAGACAGATTAAGAGGAGAAAAGCATATAACTTTATTTAATATAAATTTTATGTGGCATGGGACATGGGAGCTCTAATTACAGACCCCAAAGAAGTAGCAAAACCTAACTGCTTTTATAGTAGGTTGAACAGAGTAAATTGTGAAAATGTAACTATGTAGGAAGGCTAAAGGAAAACAATTATTTTAAGGAGATCTGCTTGTACAGAATTCTCTTGGTTTGAACTTCCTGTCCTTGATGAAAATGTTCTTTTCCTTTTGGTACAAGGAGGACATCTTCCACACCAGGCCTCTGAGCCCAAGCTAAGCCTGTGATATGCACATATACATCCAGATGGCCTGAAGCAACTGAAGATCCACAGAAGTGAAAATAGCCTTGACCGATGACATTCCACCATTGTGATTTGTTTCTGCCCCACCCTAACTGATCAATGTACTTTGTAATTCTCCCACCCTTGGGAATGTACTTTGTGAGATCCACCCCGTACCCCCAAAATATTGCTCTAAACTCCACCACCTATCCCAAAACCTGTAAGAACTAATGATAATCCCACCACCCTTTGCTGACTCTCTTTTCGGACTCAGCCCGCCTGTACCCAGGTGAAATAAACAGCCTTGTTGCTCACACAAAACCTGTTTGGTGGTCTCTTCACACGGACATGGGAATTTTAATTCCTGCTTTTAGGGAGGAAAAAGGGAACAGTGAGAGTGCCTTTCTGCCTTTCTTGTACCTACTCTTTTAAACTGCCTTTATCTCAAAATCTTATTCCAAAATGGCATATTTTGGGATGGCATATTCTGCCACATTTTACCATTCATTGCTATCCTTATTGTCACTAATTGCTATGCGAAAACTCATGAAATCAGATACAGAAAATGGCTTCTGATTGGTGAGAAGCTCAAGCAGAGAAATATATTTGTTAACTAATGTTGGGGAAAATACAATTTTGAAATCTCCCAAAGAATAGAAAGGAAATAATTTTATTATTGAATAAGCATTAAACCAGAGAGTTGCTTATCACAGGCAATCTTACGAAGAGATTGCAAAACCAGAAAGAAATCTTGCTTTCTTATTAGGAATAGCCACGTTGGATAGGTTTTGCAATTCGAAGTTAGGTGGCAGCTAAAGTTTGGCCTATTTTCTCACTGGAAACTGGGAGACAGAGCACTATCTTTTTTAATGATGAACATTTCAAAGAGATAGCTCTCCAGGCATTGAGAAAATATTCTCAGTTATAAGGCCTGTTTATCATTAAAAGGATTTGCATACATTTTAAAAGGACAGAGAAAGACATCTTGAAAGTGATGGGAAAGGAAGTCTCTTGTTTACAACAGATAATTAAGCCTGTTATTTTTAATTTGTATTTACCCTTAGATTAAGTATTCAATCTATGCTCCCTTACCCTCTTTACAACATATACCGAATTCAGCTACAGCAAGTTACAGCCAGTCATATCAATTTTGTTTTGTTTTGTTTTCCAAAGATGTATGGCAAGTTTTCTTTTATTGCAACATAAATGCAAAAATTTTAAAAGTATTTTAATGAAAAGTTTATCTTCATTTACTTTATGACATTTAAGTGGAGTACTTTGAAAATACTTCAAGCATTGCTGTAAGGAACTCATTGAAATAAAGAGTAGCAAGAAAATCACCAAATAGGCCGGGTGCAGTGGCTCATATATTCAGTATATGATAAGTTCCTCAAATCAGTGGGAGAAATAGGTCATGTATTGTACTGACTAACCAGCTGATTAACTTTTTGAAAAGTTATTTCTATAAACAAGAAATCAAATCCTTATTAGTACAGTTAGATTATTTAAAATGGTTCTACCCAGCATTAGTTAAGGTTGTAGGCGTATCAGAAACTGCTACTGGTGTAGGGGCCAAGAGAAAACCTCCCTTTTGCCCTCTGAAAGTTTACTGAAAATCAACTGATAAGAGAATATTAATAAGAGAAAAGGCATACAAATTTATTAAGGTACAGGGCTGAGGACCACAGAATAACTACCTCAACCCCTCAGTGGGGTACAGAAGCTTATATACCTTTTCTCAGAGGCAAAAGAGGAGATGGGTAATGTAGACAATTTTTTGAGGAACAGTAAATGATTATTAGGGAGAAGGAATGGACCAAGGAGAAAGAAATTAACTTGTAAATGATTCTCTTTGGAATCTGAATGAGATCAAGAGGCCAGCTTTATCTTGTGGGAAAGTTCATCTAGGTATAGTTGCATTCTTCAGTCTTCTTTTCTGCATGCAGTAGATAATGAGGTAACCGAAGGCAATTGTGCTTCTTTTGGTAAGAAGCTTTCTTGGTCATATCAGGAAATTCCAGAGAAAGTCCCTCCCTGGAAGAGAAACAAGACAAAGTTAGAGGGATCTTGATTCTTAGACTTGTTTCTGAGAACCTTCAATTTTCCAAAGCACTCAGGATTACCAAGCTCGATATCTGGGGGGATAATTCTACACCCCAAACACTGGAAATGAAAATAAGTAGAAGATAACTTAGCAATATACCTGAAAGATCTTTAAATTCTATATGAGTCTATCTTGTATTGCTAGGAATTTAGCATATGGAGTATATTTCCATGGTATATTAAGGAGAAAAATGCCACAAAATAGCATAGTTCCACACAAATAAAGAAAACATGTATATATGTAGAGATAATATTTCATTCTTTTTGCTTTATGTATCTTCTATAATGTTAACATTTTTGTTATGAGGCAGAAATCATGTTAAGTGAAAAAAGGAAGAAAAACAGCCTAGGTCTTGAGGATTAAAAAGGACTGAAGGAGAACAAAAGGGAGTAGAGCACAGCAGGCCTGTTTCCCTTTTAGGTCCCCTCCACCGACGCGGAGGGACTTCCCGCCAAAGCTCTTCCGGTTTTCAGTCTGGTCCGCAGGGTTTACCCATAAAAGCAAGCTGCCATCACAGGCAGCAGATCTTTGTTCTCCGATCACTTGATAATGTCAGGACGCGGCAAAGGAGGTAAGGGTCTGGGGAAAGGGGGTGCCAAGCGCCACCGCAAAGTGCTGCGCGACAACATCCAGGGCATCACCAAGCCAGCCATCCGGCGCCTTGCTCGCCGCGGCGGCGTGAAGCGCATCTCCGGCCTCATCTATGAGGAGACCCGCGGGGTGCTGAAGGTCTTCCTGGAGAACGTGATCCGGGACGCCGTGACCTACACGGAGCACGCCAAGCGCAAGACGGTCACCGCCATGGACGTAGTCTATGCGCTGAAGCGCCAGGGCCGCACCCTTTATGGCTTCGGCGGCTAAACGGCATTTTGAAGCCCTGTCGTTCTCTAAAAAGGCCCTTTTTAGGGCCCCTAAGCTTTCAACAAAAGAGTTAAAATGACAGCAAACTGAGTCTCTTAAAAGGGTCCTTGTCAGTGAGTTCTCTCACCCTGTTTTACAAGATTAACTCGGAATGTCGAAAGTGGACTGATGACTACAGGTGGCCCTGGGCCGAGATTTCCCAAGGCTAGAAGAGCCTCTGCTGGCCAGTAACTTCTGGCGGCTCCTTGCAAATTGCCTGCAGCCGGTTTACCGCTCGGATTAGGGGCGGGCTAGACACTTAACTTCCCTCTGGCCCTTCAAATACGTCTCGGGAGAGATGAGGGGTTTGATGGGGGCTACATTAAATGCTGGAGCCTCCAGGATTTGGAGTAGGGAGCAGACCATACTTTTACTACTGTAGAAGACAGCTGGGCAGTCTTAAGAGTCTTAGTAATAATATTCCTTTATATGTTTGCCTTCTGATATGATTTTTAAATACTGAAATATATCAAGTATACAAAATGCGCTGGTGACCACACCACTTATTCAACAACTACAGTTAAAATCCTCATGTCCCTTCTCAGTAGCACAGCCCTCCCTTTTTCCTATCCTAGAATTAACTAATATTCTAGGATAAACTGATATTCTGAATTTGGTGTTTACTGTTCCTACGCATTTTTAACTTTAGATGCACATACCCCTAATCTATTTTAAACGTCTTCATGAATTTTTACATTTGCTCTTGAAATATATCCGTGTTGAAATGTGCAGTTCTATGTTATTTTCACCATTAATCTAGTTTTCTAATGTGTCAGTAAATACTTTATTCATTTCTGTTGATTTTTTTTTTTCCTCATTACAAAACAGCACTGTACACACCTGTGCATTTTCTGGTTACATGAAAGTGGAATTATTTGGTAAAAGTATGTGCATATTCAACATGAGTAACAATGAACAATTTGCTTTCCAGGATAGTATTTTAAAATTTACACTCCCATATTCCACCAGCAGTGCTTCAGAATTATTGTTTATCAGCATTTCCTTATGTCAGATTGGAGTTTTTTCAATGAGATTTTTGGCTATTTGGAGATTTTCCCACTTTTCTGGGAATTTTGGTCTATCCAGATTCTCTACAGTTTTTATTTTATGAGTTTTGATTTGTAAATATTTATATATTTGAGTTTAACTTTTTGTCAGTATGTGACAAATATATTCTGTCACCCTGTGGGTTCGTTTTTAACTGTTCGTGATATCTTTGGATGTACAAAATTTTAATAATGTTGGATTTATATTTTTTATAGTTTTTGAATGCTGCCTTTTCATAAAGGAGTTATCTGCCTTCCACTTTCCCCAGGAGCTGCAGGCATCAATCTGGGGAGGAAAAAAAAAGTATTTAGGCTGCTTATCTCCTGATTTGGCTTGAATTGGATAGTAAGGCTTTTCTGAACTAGCTCTAAGAGTAGCTTTAAGAGCAAGCTAAGGGAAGACCTCACAAAAGATTGATCTTACTCTCTAAATAAGCAATGATTAACAACACCTAAAATTTTCAAAGTATTACAAAAGGGACAAAAGAAAGGGTGAAAGAGGAAAGTAATTCCTAAGATACACTGAAAGTTTGTTGAAAATTGTGTTAAACGCTTTACATGGATTATCTCATATCTCATATTTTCATGATAGATTTTACTACTATTATTTTAAAATGACAAAATAGAGGTCAAACCAATTCACAAATGTTAGAGTCTGTGACCCAAACTTGTAGTTTTTAAATTTTTATTCTTCCAGGAGCATAGATTCAAATTGCCCTGAACATACACTCACTCAAACCTGTAATATTCTTAATCACACTCTCTTAGTGGATAGAGAAGCCATCACAGAGAGTAGTAGTGGTGCTAGTCCTATAATGGAGAATTTGGGGAAATGTGTCAGGACAGGTACAAAACCTGCCTGTCACTTATCCCAATAGGAATGAATTATTTTCATGTGTCAGTTTGTAGGCCTACTTGAGAAAGTCGTTTTCATTTTGTGTCTATATAGTTATGTTATTGTTAAAGAAATCTGCAGCAATGTAACATGTCCTTCCCTGTCATTTTTCATGTTCCAAGCCCAATGGATTAAACACTCCCTTAGGAAAAACTGTAGTAAGTGGTGATGCCAGAAGGAATTGTAATCCTTTGCATAGTGCCCTAGTGGGTTTTAGGTCAAGTTCTGCTCATTTAGTGTCTTATGGTATAGCACTAGCCATGCATGGAGTTTGAGCACTTACAATGTGGCATGTGACTGAGGGAGTGTTTAATTATATTTTAATTAGTTTACATTTAAAAACTGGTGCTGGATTCAATTAGATAACATCCAAGTATGCTTGGAACACCTTAGGGACATGAATCAGAATCTTCTTATTCTAATTACAGATGAAGAATTCCCCATGAAAATTTATTTTGATATACTGTAAAAGTGTAAAATACACACCAGATTTTGAAGATTTGAAATGAAAAAAGAATGCAAGATATTTAATACATTCTGTATTGACTATATGCTGAAACTGTATTTTTGATACATTCTGTCAAATAGGATACATTATTAAAATTGATTGTAACTTTTTTTTTTTTTTGGAAACGAAGTCTCGACCCCCTCCTCCCCCAGGTTGGAGTGCAATGGCGCCATCTCGGCTCACTGCAACCTCTGCCTCCCAGGTTCAAGAGATTCTCCTGCCTCAGCCTCCCGAGTAGCTGGGAATACAGATGCGTACCACCCCGCCTGGCTAATTTTTTGCATTTTAAGTAGAGACGGGGTTTCACCATGTTGACCAGGCTGGTCTTGAACTCCTGACCTCAGGTGATCCACCCACCTCGGCCTCCCAAAGTGCTGGGATTGCAGGCATGAGCCACTGCGCCTGATTTTTTTTAACTTTTAAAAATGGTTACTGGAAAGATAAGAAGTACATGTATGACTTGTATTATATTCACTCCCCCCCTTTTATTTTTTTTTGAGATGGAGTCTTGCTCTGTCGCCCAGGTTCAAGTGCAGTGGCATGATCTCGGCTCACTGCAACCTCTGCCTCCCAGGTTCAAGTCATTCTCCTGCCTCAGCCTCCCAAGCAGCTGGGACTACAGGCGTCCCATTAGTCGAAACCATGCCCGACTAATTTTTGTATTTTTAGTAGAGACGGGGTTTCACCATACTGGCCAGGCTGGTCTTGAACTCCCTGACCTTGTGATCCACCCACCTCAGCCTCCCAAAGTGCTGGGATTACAGGCATGAGCCATCGCACCTGGCCGTATTATATTTCTATTTGAGTAGTGTCTTAAGAGTAACAAACTGGCTTTCAGACACTTATAATAGGACAGAAAAATCCTAGTTCAAGAAAGAATGAGAAAGTAGGAGAAACCAAATGAACAACAAATTTCCCAGGCCGGGCACGGTGGCTCACCCACCCGGTTCATGCCAGCACTTTGGGAGGCCAAGGTGGGTGGATCACCTGACGTCAGGAGTTCAAGACCAGCCTGGCCAACATGGTGAAACCACGTCTCTACTAAAAATATAAAAACTAGCCGGGCATGGTCACAGGCGCCTGTAATCCCAGCTATTCAGGAGGCTGAGGCAGGAGAATTGCTTGAACCCAGGAGACAGAGCTTGCATTGAGCCGACACAGTGCCACTGCACTCCAGCCTCGGTGACAGTGAGACTGTCTCAAAAAAAAAAAATTTTTTTTTCCTTTCCTTCACGTATATTCCTGAAGACAGAGATAAGGTCTTCTCCCAGCTGTACTTATACCTCAGGTAATATCAAGAAAGCAGTGACATGATATATTACACTTCATGGGCATAGAGTTGTGACATTTACTCCTTTGTATTAAGGACTTGAAGAATTACTGTTTTTCCAGCTCATCTAAGGTAGAAAGCCATGCCATTTTCTTAGGTCCATTGACCTCTTTACTTCCAACTTCTAGGCTCAGATACTAGATAACAACACAGACCAAACATATGATTGCCAAGTCCCTAACCACAGTTAAATAAACCTCCACTTTTCAATCCCAGAGCTACTCTCAGTTTCCCAAAGAATGGGAAAATCTGAAGCAGGCAATTATTCTGTGCAAGTGTTCTTCAGGAGGCTGTAACAATTGCTAGATTAAATTGCTGTGGTCCAGAATCACACAGCAATTATTGTAAAGCACTGAACTACTCTTTAAAAAATTATTTTATGAGACAGGAGACAATTTAGCACATTCAACTTTTTAACAATCTAAGAGAGATTATGAAATATAAAAATGAATAAAAGAGCCCTATTTTTGTTTCAAATTAAGTCAAATTAATACACATGGCTAATGAGAAAATAAATGACAAAGAGATACGTGGTATAATGGGAACAAACAAGAGCATAATGGAATCTTGTTCTGATTCTAACGATCTGAGCAAATTAAGCTTTGCATCCATTTAGCTATTTGTAAAATAACATTGATCTGAACTTTTTGATTCCTTCAAGCTGTTAAACTCTGTGCTATCAACCGGGAATGGTTGCTCACGCCTGTAATCCTAGCACTTTGGGAGGCCGAGGCCGGTATAGATAGCCTGAGGTCGGGAGTTCGAGGCCAGCCTGGCCAACATGTTGAAACCCCCATCTCTACTAAAAATACAAAATTTAGCCAGGCGTGGTGGCAGGCGCCTGTAATACCAGCCATTTGGGAAACTGAGGCAAGAGAATCGCTTGAACCTGGGAGGGGGAGGGTTGCAGTGAGCCAAGATCTCACCATTGGACTGCAGCCTGGGCAACAGAGCTAGACTCCGTCTTGCAGGGGGAAGCGGGGGGAAATCTGTGCTATCGAGAGAAATAAAATGAGATCATTTTGAAGGGAGTGAGAAAAGGGGTGAGGGTGAAAGCAGGAGAAAGTTATGGCCACTTCCACCCAGTATTTCTATTAAAACACAAATGCACTTCCAGAATTTTATAAAAAGCAAAAAGGACTGAAAGTAAATTGTATAAAATCAAGATGTTATGTCCATTTGCAAAAATAGTTTGTAAGTCTAAAGGTAATAACAGCAGATAACTTCAGAGTAAAAATTTTAGTCTGTAAAGAGTAGTCAGGTATACCTGAAGGTAGAATTCATTGGCATAGTGTATCTTAGTTTGTTTTTAAATTTTATTTGCGACGGAGTCTTGCTCTGTTGCCCAGGCTGGAGTGCAGTCAGGTGATCTCAGCTCACTGCAACCTTTGCCTCCTGGGTTCCAGCAATTCTCCTGCCTCAGCTTCCCCAGTAGCTGGGGCTACAGGCACACGCCACCACACCCAGCTAATTTTTGTATTGTTAGTAGAGACGGGGTTTCACTATGTTAGCCATGCTGCTTTCGAATTCCTGACTTCAAGTGATTGCCTCCTATATAGGTATAGATATAGATCAGTGCCTTTATATAGGTAAACAATAAATATAATTATTTGTTGATACATTTCTTAGAATATTAGTGTAACCCCAAAATTGCTGATAGGATAAATAAGACTTAGATGAACAGTGAACATATGCTTTGCATGTATTTAAAGTTTTCCAGTATGACCTTGCTAATCTCCAAATGCCCAAGGGCGGGCAATATCCCCAAAGACTAGAACAATGCATGGCCAAATATGTTAAATATATATACAGACACATATACATTGAAAATTTCCCTGTGAAACTGGCCTGCATTTCTAAATCACAAATTTAGCCAGGTAACAACCTAGCTTAAAATTCGTGGACCCTTTCTTTCACTTGGTTCTTCCAAAAAAGTTCCACACTACTTATCACCGGCATAGCCATTCTAGCCTCCAGTTACACAATAAAATCCACCTAACTCTGCTCAGACCCTGTGCTGCTGCGGAAGTTCCCTTCTCCTCTACTCCAACTTCTTGCTTCGGGGCGGACTGTCTCTAGTCTCAGTCTGTTGTCTCCCCTCTGGATCCAGTTGCTTTTCCTTTTCTATAAGTTTTGTCAAAAGGAAAAATTAGTGGTTGAACCAATTGACGCTGAACATGCCTTAACAACTAGCAAACTATTCAAGAATCTCCGCGATGATCTCATGTTCCGTTTCTTCACTCATGAGAAAAGCTGTGCTCCTCCCCTTACCCTTGCAGACTATCCTGCCTGGTGGTCTGGCATCTTCCCGATGTCTTGTGGGCCGGAGAGGTGGAAACGGGGGGTGAGAGGGAAGCAAGCAAGGCAGAGCTGGGTACAGCCTAGAAGGGGTTAAATAAGGTAATTGCTCGCGCGAAAGCCATACGTACTGGTAGGCCATCGGGAACCAAATTTACAAATACATAAACTCAAGTTAGAACTCCTTTAAATGGTGGAAAGTACACGTGACACAATAGGCTTTCAACAAGTTCTAACAGGAAGTCACAGCACTCGACACAACGGAAGTATCCATTTTCGCGCCAAGAGCCAGGAAGCACTTTGTTAACGCAAATTTCCTGCACATCCTTAATTTTTTAGGCGCCATATTCCTTACTCAGTACTCTCAGTACTAACAAAGTGCATATGGCTTCTTTAGCCTGTACTCGATTACAAGCACTGTACACATTACTCAATGTAATGAGATCATAACAACCCCTTTAAAGAGATCGCCATTATTTAAACCTGGATTAGGAACACGTGTTTGCAGCTCTAATAGCGACAATTTAAGTGGCTCTTAAAAGAGCCTTTGGGGTTGGGCTTTAAGACGCTTACTTGGCAGGTTTACTTAGCGCTGGTGTACTTGGTGACGGCCTTGGTGCCCTCCGACACCGCGTGCTTGGCCAATTCCCCGGGCAGCAGCAGGCGCACGGCCGTCTGGATCTCCCTGGAGGTGATGGTCGAGCGCTTGTTGTAATGCGCCAGACGGGAAGCCTCACCCGCAATGCGCTCAAAGATGTCGTTGACGAAGGAGTTCATGATTCCCATGGCCTTAGAGGAGATGCCGGTGTCGGGGTGGACCTGCTTCAGCACCTTGTACACGTACACGGAGTAGCTCTCCTTGCGGCTGCGCTTGCGCTTCTTGCCGTCTTTCTTCTGGGCCTTAGTCACTGCCTTCTTCGAACCCTTCTTGGGCGCAGGAGCGGACTTCGCTGGCTCCGGCATGTTGAGGGCGAACTACGAGTCGAGGCGGACTAACAGCAGATCGAGAAAACGGGAAGTAATAGGAGCAAGGCACCAGGAGTCGTTTTTATATAGAACCTCTCATGCAAATGAGGTGAAGAGTTAAAGTCCTGTATCTGATTGGTGGTTATTCAGGGTGACCTCAGAGGTTAGTTATACCTAATCAACCAATCAACAAATCCAAAAGATGTACTTCCATTGGTTAAAATTAAGTGGCAACTCTAACCAATGACATATCTTCTTTTTCGCGCCCAATGGTGTTTATAAAAGGCGCTGCCTCTCCACTTTCGTTTCGCTGGGTACTCTTAAGTAAGTTGTGGTCAGTATGTCTGGACGTGGCAAGCAAGGCGGTAAAGCTCGCGCTAAGGCCAAGACCCGTTCTTCTCGGGCTGGGCTGCAGTTCCCTGTAGGCCGAGTGCACCGCTTACTCCGTAAGGGCAATTATGCCGAGAGGGTTGGGGCCGGCGCGCCGGTGTACCTGGCTGCGGTGCTGGAGTACCTGACTGCTGAGATCCTGGAGTTGGCTGGCAATGCGGCCCGCGACAACAAAAAGACCCGCATCATCCCGCGTCACCTCCAGCTGGCTATCCGCAACGATGAAGAGCTCAACAAGCTGCTGGGCAAAGTCACCATCGCGCAGGGTGGTGTCTTGCCCAATATCCAGGCCGTGCTGCTGCCTAAGAAGACCGAGAGCCACCATAAGGCCAAATAAGGAGCGAGGTTGTGAAAACTGAAAAACAAAGGCTCTTTTCAGAGCCACGCTACACTGTCCTAGAGAAAGCTGGACACGGTCATGTTTGTTTCATTAGACCATATTGTAAAGCGCTTCTTTCCCGGTTGGGCTGGAGCAACTCTTTACAATGTTTTTAGATGTAACCTAATCCACTGGAAGGCAGTGAAGACCCACAAGTTACTGTAGGATACACCGGCGAAGCTTATTCAGCAGGAGTAATAACTGAAATCATTAATATGCAAATCCCTGAAGTCTATTTACCAATTCCAGAGTTTGTTTGTTTTTGAGATGGAGTCTTTCCCTGTTGCCCAGGCTGGAGTGCAGTGGTGCGATCTCGGCTCACTGCAACCTCCACCTCCCAGGTTCAAGCGATTCTCCTGCCTGAGCCTCCCGAGTAGCTGGGATTATAGGCATGCACCACCATCCTCAGCTAATTTTTGTGTTTCTAGTAGAGACGGGGTTCCACCATGCTGGCCTGGCTGCTCTCGAACTCCTGACCTCAGGTGATCCGCCCGTGTCGGCCTCCCAAAGTGCTGGGATTACAGGCGTGAGCCACCACGCCAGGCCTCCAGTGTAATAATTATATTACATTAATAGTGTTGTCAAACAGCCATAAAAATGGGATATACTCGCCACTCTTTAAAGGCAAATTTTGCAATTTTAAGTATTCTTGAAAAGCAAGAAAGGTCAGCCTAATTCTTAAGTGGTCTAACTCTTAAGAGCAACTTTACCCAGGTGATGAAAGTCTAGTGACTCATTTGCATTACAATTTGATTCCGATGGGAGGAGAATATGGGATACAGAATTTCCTGAATCCCATATTTGTAAATCCTTAGCCCCATTTCTTTGGAGAAGGTGTATTAATGCACTCTTTTAGTAACTCAGGATACAACATGGCTTTTTCTGTCTAGTTAATTTGTATTATCAAATTTATTAGATCAGGTATTGCTATTGCTTTTGATTGCTTGTCCACATTAATTTACCTACCCTAGGAAGCCCTATGAGTTTCCTTCCTCCCCACTGACCCCCAACTTGATATTACTTGCCTGCTTTTACTTCATAGCCTCAAGGCTTTCTGGCTATTCCTACAAAATGCAAAACACATTTTCTGTCTTAAGGCCTTTGCACTTTAAATTTCCTCTTCCCTGATAGCTACCTTTCTCACTTTTTTTCAATCTATGTAGGTCTCACAGAGTGAGACTCCATCTCAAAAACAACAACACAAAAAAACCACACAGAAGAGATATTTGGTGCCAACCACTTATGGCTACATATGCAATATGAATGTGCTTATTTAATTCTCACAACCTTTTGAGGTGAGTATTGTTTGGACTCTAATTTGGAAATGAAAGTGTAGTGTTACTTATCTAATCAGATTCTCAATTAGTAGAAGAAAAAGCTATGTAGGTCTCTGTATACTCAGCCAGTATGCCTGTCAAGTTGCCCCCACACTGGGCCAAAGGGGCTCTAGACCACCCTTTTTAACTCCTTTGTGGGTCACTGAGTGAGGACTGCCCTGGGGAAGGATACAGCCTTGAGTGGGGAGGAGCTCTGCAGCTGAGGCAAATACTAAAGAAGCTCACAGCTGGTGTCTATCTGCTAATTGTGCTCTCTGCAGTTGGGCTGCAAGCCTTTCCTTGAAGGAGGATCTGGGCAGTGTATTTCCATGTCTATGACATATATTAACATGAATATAAATATCAGTGTTAAGTAAGGTCGATGATAGTATCTGTGAGACTGACTTTAGCATGTATAAGTGCATAGCTGGTATTGCTCTTTGACTTTTTTTCTTTTTCTTTTTTCTTGTTTTTGAGATGGAGTTTTGCTCTTCTTGCCCAGGCTGGAGTGCAATGGCCTGATCTCGGCTCACTGCAACCTCCACCTCCCAGATTCAAGCGATTCTCCTGCTTCAGCCTCCCGAGTAGCTGGGATTACAGGCGTGTGCCACCACTCCCGGCTAATTTTGTAATTTTAGTAGAGACGGGGTTTCACCATGTTGGTCAGGCTGGTCTGGAACTCCTGACCTCAGATGATCTGCCCACCTTGGCCTCCCAAAGTGCCGGGATTACAGGCATGAGCCTGTGATTACTTTCATCAGGGAATGTGAAGGGGGTGGGGTCTTTTCTTTTTAGAGAAATAAGAAAATGTGCAGACTTTCTAAAAATCTTTATTAGTTTGGTATACTCCTGTAAGAGTTTTAAATGCCTCAATCGTTGCACATGGAAGGTGATAGAAAACAATTACAAAGGAAATGGGAGATTTTTCTACTGACTTTTCCTACCCCAGAATCAGCAAATCTCTTCACTTTTCCCATTCTGCGAAATAATCCAGTTTAGCCCCATACTGAAGAAACTTCAGAATTAATACTTGAGGCTCAAAGGAGAGGAGAAGGAGCCTTTAAAAAAAAACATGAAATGAGTTTCTGTAGTATAGTGGTTATCACGTTTGCCTCACAAGGAAAAGTCCCTGGTTTGAAACCAGGTGGAAACACATTTACCAGGTGCAGTAGTTCATGCCTGTAATCCCAGCACAAAAACTTAGCCGGGTGTGGTGGCAGCTGCCTGTAGTCCCAGCTACTTGGGAGGTGAGGCAGGAGAATCGCTTGAGCCCGGGAGACGGAGGTTGCAGTGAGCTGAGATTGTGCCACTGCACTCTAGCCTGGGCGACAGAGTGAGACTCCAATCTCAAAAACAACAACAACAACAAATCACATAGAAGAGATATTTGGTGCCAACAACTTATGGGCTACATATGCAATATGAATGTGCTTATTTAATTCTCACAACCTTTTGAGGTGGGTATTGTTTGGACTCTAATTTGGAAAAGAAAGTGTAGTGTTACTTATCCAATCAGATTCTCAATTAGTAGGAGAGAAAGCTATATATCAGAATATTATCTACTCAACATGGAACACACACATAACTGCCTTTTCTTAACTATCGGGTCTCATGTGCTTTAGTCTAAGGTATATAGAAACTTGGGTAAGAATTGTTAAAGGGAGATGTTGAAAGGTCTGTCAGAAAAGTATCATGATCGTATTTGAATTAATAGAAACCGAATAAGAAAGAATAAAACTAGACTTAATTATTCACATAGTGTTTACAATAGTTTAAAGTGAATAAAGATTCCTGAAAATGGGAATCACACTTATATACTTTTTAAAAATATATTTTTAAGACACATACAATTTTAAAAACGCATACATACATGCTTTTCCTCGGTTCCACCCTTCCCCTTCATCTTCATACCTATTACAGATGGAGTCGTCGTCATGCATTCCTTGTAAGGAATAATTCTGATAAAATCAAAATAGTAAAGTCACATCTAAAAATATGTGAAGGTTTATACCCCAGAGGAGCTGCATGACTTAAATAATTAACAATGACAAAATCTGAGAAATACATGTGATTATGGATAATGAGGGGTGCTTAACTAAGGACAAAATAATATAATTTTATATCAGGCTAACTATTGACGTGGCTTCACTTACCTGGGAAGCTAGATTCTGTGTGTAATAGTAAACACCTGGGAGGAATACTGATTGTTTACAACGCTAACTGATATCTGGACTCAGAACTGGCCATCAGTAAATCAACTTGAGATCGCAAATATTCCTTGGAATCACACAAAGGAAAATACCAAAAAAAAAAAAAAAAAAAAAAAAAAAAAATAAAAAAAGCAATCCCATTTAAAAGGAGGTAAAATTGCTGGTGTACATTGATAT